TCATAAACTTATTCCATGTACGTCCCTCTCTACAATTAAGCAACACATTCTTAAAATCAGGATCAAGCGCATATTGTTCTTTTATGGATTGAAGACCATAAATCCGACAATCAAGTTGGGACAGCAATGTATATCTTCTAGACAAAGCATCAACAATCACATTATCCTTCCCTTTCTTGTGTTTGATAATATAAGGAAAAGATTCAATAAATTCAACCCATTTAGCATGCCTACGATTCAGATTATTTTGAGAGCGAAGATACTTAAGCGATTCATGATCAGAATGAATAACAATTTTTTTAGGCCACAAATAATGACGCCACGTCTCTAAAGAACGAACAAGTGCATACAATTCTTTATCATATGTGGAATAATTTAGAACAGGACCATGCAATTTTTCACTAAAGTAAGCTACATGTTTACCATCTTGCATCAAAACACCACCAATGCCAACTCCACTAGCATCACATTCTAGCTCAAAAGTCTTACTAAAATTTGGAAGTTGCAGCAATGATGCGTGTGTGAGCTTGTCCTTCAAAGTGTCAAAGGACTCCTCTTGTGCCTCTCCCCAATGAAACACCACCCTTTTCATCGTCAACTCATGCAATGGGGTAGCAATGGTGCTGAAATCTTTGACGAAGCAGTGGTAGAATCCTGCAAGACCAAGAAAACTCCTCACCTGTGTGACGGTTTGGGGAACTGGCTAGCTCTTTATGGCTTCAATTTTCATCTCGTCCACCTCAATTCCCTGTGGAGTTACAACATAGCCAAGAAAAGAAACTCGATCCGTGCAAAAGATACACTTCTCAAGGTTACCAAATAGACGTGCATCACGTAAAGCATTAAAAACAGCACGTAAGTGATCCATATGTTCATCAAAAGACTTGCTGTAAATCAATATATCATCAAAGTAAACTACCACAAAATGTCCAATAAAAGCTCTTAAAACCTCATTCATTAAGCGCATGAAAGTGCTAGGTGCATTTGTCAAACCAAAAGACATTACTAACCACTCATACAACCCGAATTTGGTTTTAAACACAGTTTTCCATTCATCTCCAAGTGTCATTCTAATTTGGTGGTAGCCACTTCGCAAGTCAATCTTAGTGAAAATTATAGAACCACACAACTCATCTAGCATGTCATCTAGCCTAGGAATAGGATGACGATACCGAATAGTAATATTATTGATGGCTCTACAATCAACACACATACGCCAAGTTCCATCTTTCTTAGGAACCAAAAGTACAGGAACAGCACAAGGACTAAGGCTTTCACGTACATAGCCGCGGTCCAAAAGGTCTTGGACTTGTCGCTGAATTTCCTTAGTCTCATCGGGATTGGTTCGATAGGCAACACGGTTGGGCAAGGTTGCTCTCGGGATCAAATCGATTTGATGCTCTATCCCTCTCATAGGTGGCAGCCCCGGGGGTATCTCAGCTGGAAAAATGTCCTCATACTCCTGCAAAAGGGTAGTGATAGCAGGAGGCACCGAGCTAACAATATCATCATGCGAAAACATAGCTCGTTTGCATACCAAAGCATAGCAAATATCATCATCAGAAATTTCAGCAAAGTCACATTTTGTTGCAAGCATAACACCACCCTTCAATTTAATCCCCTCAGCCTTAGAAATAGATGTAGACTTATCCTTTTTAGGTGGGAAAATAGAATTAGCAACTTGCTGATTTTCAGATTGAACATCATTCAAACTAGCAGCGCGTTCTCTATCAGCTTATATAATTTGGGCAGGGGTCAAAGGTACCAAAGTAATTGTCTTTCCTTTATGCACCTTGGTCTTCCGTATTATCAGCTTATATGATGCTCCTATAGGCCGCCGTGGCCTCGTCACCAAGGACTTTGCCGTCCTCCTCATCTGCATCTTGGTCTTCTTCATCCTCAATGTCAGAGGTGCTAATGTAACCATCTTCTGTAGCAATATATGCTCACTGACTTGGACAATCCTTCTACACATGGCCAATGCCGTGGCAGCGGTGGCACTGAATGCCCGAAGTGCGTCCCATCGATGCAACAGATGAGGAACTCTTGGTAGGCACCTGCAAACAATTTTACCTGAATTTGAAGGTCGTGTGGGAGGTGCCTTAAGTGTAGCGGAAACTCTAGAGGCTGTTGGTCGCTTGCTTGCTGGTGGAGGCGCCCGAAAAGTGGTTGGCTTGGTCATCCCCGAAGATGGTGCCGAGCGTGGCGTGTATGTGGTGGTGCTGACCTTGCTCTTGCTCTGCTGTTCAAGCCCCTTCAATTCCTTTTCTGCAAGCATAGCAAACTGAAACAACTGGTTGACAGTGTTAAATTCTTTATAATCAACAATGTCCTGAATCTCACGTCTCAAACCTGAATAAAAACGACAAATGGCATCTTCGTTTCCCTCCACAACACTACAGCGCATCAATCCCTTTTGGAGCTCACCATAGTAATCCTGTATAGATTTATCTCCTTGTTCTAAACGCATCGATTTCTTACGCAAGTCTCTATGATAAGAAGGAGAAACAAAGCGATCACGCATAGCTACCTTAAGTTCTTCCCACGTACCAGGTAAAGCATCCTGTGCAGCTAGCCCATTCCACCAAATAATGGCAAAATCCTTAAACTCACTAGTAGCTTGACGAACTCTATGATGCTCAGGCACAAGGTGGGCACTAAACTTTCGTTCTACTGTCATCTCCCAATCAAGATATCCATCAGCATCGTAATGACCCGAAAAAGATGGTATTGTGAACTTAATCTTAGCATAAGGATCATTGGGTACACGGTGATTATTACCTTGATGGTGGTGGACACCACCCATACCTATCGTGTTGCGGCGAAGACGTCGTCGTAATCTTGCTTGTCGGAAAGTTGCTCGATCTATGTTCCCAGCGGCATCATGCACCGTGTCTTCTGGCAAGAGACCATCAGTGTTGCTGTCGGAGACGTCATTGTTGTTGACCGCCACCAATGTTTCCAACTCAGTAACCTTGTCGGTTAGCGTGGAAATTCATTTGTCTAATCTCTCCGTGCTGTTGCCAATGTTGAGTTCAATGAGTGCGTCAGTGATGGCCTTCCTGACGGCCTCATTCATCCTTTTTTGGGCATCCTCTACAATAGCTTGTAGTTGCTCTTGGCTGACACACTCGTTGAAACCCTTAGGATTGTTATCTTGAGTATGTTCACCTCCTGCCATTGTAAACACAAAAACAGGAACAAACGGTGAAAGTTATCCCTACCAAATGACTACGTGGTTGCAGTGGTGTCACTTTTCACAGCAAGTGGAAGCGTCTTACCAAGCTCTTACAAAGTTCTTACCAACGCAAGCAGTGGGCGGTACAACCGGCGGCTGGTTCGTGATACCTGTGAGGCAGTGGTACCGAGATTGTAAAGCCCTTTTCTATACTTATCTGAAGAATTTGTGGAGCTTGGAAGGTAAACAAAGAGTAATATGTATATCTGGCACACAAGTCAGTAACAGAAAGTAATGCTGAATTATAGTCCAAAGTACTTGTTCTCGTTGCTGGTCTAAAATGTTCTAAGTACTAGGTATGTGACAAAGTATGGTGGATAGCAAGGTGACAGGTGTGTGAAAAACAAGTATGGTGGATAGAAACAGCAACACAAACAAGAAACCAGACATCACACGCTAACACATCTCACTTTGGTCTTCTCTATGTGCTCCTCTAAATATTGTTCCTCTTTTGTCCCTCTCTTTTTTCTATTTTTTGGGTTGTCGTTGTTTTCTGGGAAATTTCGACTTTTTTATTTTATTTTATTGATATTTTTTCTTTACTTAGGAGCACAAAACAAGTAACCACAGAAAATATGAGCTTAAACAGGATTTGAGCTACTTGCTAGGATTCCAAAAAACAATTCAATGGTCATCCAAACAATGGTATTCGAATTGTGGCTATTTCAATACCATGGCTGCTTTGGTATTGAACTCAATTCAATTCCAACCCCCTCAATATCTACATCCAAACAGACCCCTAGTTTAAATGAAGGCCGAACTGACGAAGTTTGTGAGCTGATTTATTGGTGGTTTGGGCAATAATAAGTTGTTCCTATCAAGTTCTACAACATTTGTCCATGACACACTATGTGCACCCACTAAGAAAAGAGTATCGTGAGGCAGAAAATCAGAATGAAATGATATTACTTACATAAACAAATAATAAAATAATAGAATTCACTCTTCTCTCAAGGCTTTTACTTAGGGGTCTGTTTGACATAGCCTCACCAATGACTTCATAACAGAGGCGGAACCAGCCGCACAACTCGAGGGGCAAGACCAAGATAACGCATGGAGACAACACATTCAATCTCTCTTTCACTTGAAAATAATTACAGATATAGTGATTGCAGCAAAGGTAAATAAAAAGTTTGTTAGATGTTAGGGGGGCCTTAGCCCCTGCTAGCCACCCCTAGTTCCGCCACTACTTCATAAGTCTGTTTTTTGCTAAACACCTTTTTTTCAAAACAGTTCATTGGGTGAAGCTCTTTTTTATGCTCTCACAATAGAATAGATAAAGATGAAGGTGAAAAAAGTAGCTTTTCACAGCTCTCTTCCTAATTTCTCTCTCAGCCATGCATGGAGCTATTGGTGAAGTGTTTTGCACAACAATTTTTCTAAAACAGCTTAGCTTATTTACTGAGAAAGCTGTTCAAAAATAGCTTCGCTAGTGAAGTTGAGATATACTAAAAGATGCCTTAGTAATACACACGGCTTCACACTCGAAGTGTTCCATGGGATAGCCCAGCGTGTACTGCGAGTTGGTATACTCCATTTGCGATGTCGTTACAAGGAATTCATCATTTCATCATTGTTATTTGTGTCCGGTTTTCCAAATGCCGTGGATAACACGCTGCGCGTGGTCTTTTTGTGTAAAGGTAAATCACGTACGACTGTACACACTTGGCATCGTGGACTCCTGAATCTATATATTCATACTCGTACCTAGCCATCATCGTCGTCATCATCAGAGCAGGTAGAAATCCTTTGGTGTCCAGAAATGGCGACGACAAGATCGTCCATCCTCGTTGTCGTGACGATCTGCTTCCTCCTCGCCGCTCCTCCGGCCTACTCCGAACGCCGAGGCTTCTTCCGTGCCACCATGACCCGCAACGAACCGGCCATCAACCTAACGCGGGCCGCGCACAAGTCTCGCCAACGGCTGTCCATCCTCGCCGCCCGGCTGCTTGACGCAGCAGCCTCAGGGTCAGGGAGCGCGCAGACGCCGCTGCAGATGGACGGCAGCGGCGGCGCATACGACATGACCTTCTCCATGGGCTCGCCGCCGCAGAAGCTGTCGGCCCTCGCCGACACCGGCAGCGACCTCATCTGGGCCAAGTGCGGCGCGTGCAAGCGGTGCGCGCCGCAGGGCTCCCCCTCCTACTACCCAAACAAGTCGTCGTCTTTCTCCAAGCTGCCGTGCTCCAGCGGTCTCTGCCGTACGCTGGAGTCCCAGTCGCTCGCGACGTGCAGTGCCGGCGCGATGTGCGACTACAAATACCCGTACGGCCTCGCCAGTGATCCGCACCACTACACACAGGGTTACATGGCGAGCGAGACGTTCAAACTCGGCGGCGACGCCGTGCCAGGCATCGGCTTCGGCTGCACCACCATGTCGGAGGGCGGGTACAGCTCAGGCTCCGGCCTCGTCGGGCTCGGCCGCGGGAAGCTGTCCCTCGTCAGGCAGCTCAAGGTCGGCGCCTTCTCCTACTGCCTCACCAGCGACCCTTCCAAGTCGAGCCCTCTCTTGTTCGGCGGCGCCGGCGCCCTGACGGGCCCCGGCGTCCAGTCCACGCCGCTCCTCAAGACGTCCACCTACTACACCGTGAACCTGACTAGTATCTCCATCGGCGCCGCGACGACGCCCGGAACCGGGAGACATGGCCCTCAAGACGACGCCCGGAACCGGGAGACATCGGCGCCGCGACGACGCCCGGCTCCGGCGCCGTGTTCCCGTCCATGGTGCTGCACTTCGACGGCGGCGACATGGCCCTCAAGACGGAGGACTACTTCAGGGCGGTGGAAGACAGCGTGAGCTGCTGGATCGTGCAGAGCTCGCCCAGCCACACGTCCATTGTCGGCAACATCATGCAGATGGACTACCACATCCGGTACGACCTGGACAAATCGACGCTGTCCTTCCAGCCGGCCAACTGCGAGACTTTCTGAAGAGTCTGCTCGTCCGGCTCGTCCTCCCATATTTTGATGGTTACGTTCATGCTGCATGACATGTCATATAATTCAACGCGGGACACGTACACGTATAGTTAATTAGTACCAATGAGATTATTACTAGTGATGTCAGAATGTCTTATAGATTCCGTGACTTTATAAGTACACACTCAGTTATAAATTATAAGATGTTTTGACTTTCCTAAATGCATTGATTTCACTATACATCTAAATATAGTGTATATCTAAGTACAAAGCAAAAATTATGAATCTATAAAATCAGAATGTCTTATAATTTATAATAAAGGGAGTAATAAGTGGCACTAAACTGAAATGTAAGATTATCTCCATTGTGTATGGATATTATGCTACTTATTACTCCATCTGTTTCATATTATAAGATGTTTTAGTTTTCTAGGTACATTGCTTTTATTATATATTTTTTCAAAGAGTCTGTGGCAAGAGCCTAGCGAACATATATTAATAGAGAAGAAGTGTTTTACAATGATAAAAACAAAAATAACACCCTCACCAACGAGGTGAGGACAAAACCACCACCACAAGAAACACAAACACCAATGAACCTCAGAAGCAATAGCCGTCAAACGCCGCCCGGCACAGTACAGTGAACAAGCAAAGTAAACTAGAAGGCAGGAGTAGGTTTTCCACATTGATGCCTCGAATGAGATGGGAAACGACGTCCACAGATGCCGTCAACGCTGATAGGAGAACCAAAGTTTTTGCAACCAAACTCCTAGAGGGTGAGGGGACCTTACCACAATGCCTCCAATGAGGGAAGTGACACCAAGGAGAGACACCATTGTCTGCCACAGTGGTAGGACCTTCGCCTAATGATCCCCCATGCCCATGCCCCAAACACTAGCTACACTGTGGCTTGGCATAGCCAAGTATGTACTGCAACAAACCACCACTAGTAGCTAGGAGATTGTTGTGGCACCGATGAGGTCATAAGTATGAGTGACCTATCGCCCCACGCTAGTCTACAAGGGCCACATCCATACTACATAGCACCAGCCACCGTGCGAAGCCACACCTTGTTCTTGCACCATGCTTCTAGAGAAGAGCCACCTCTTGCACAACATCGTCCCTAAATTTTGTAGAGAAGCCACGAGCATTTCCGCATAAGTTGTCGTCCTCAACGAGCCGCCATACATTGGTTGTCGCAGCGGCAGTGAGGCGGGCACTGTCATGCGTTGCTAGTCGCAACCACGTGCCGGTCAGCATGGACCAGAGCCAACCCAACAAATACGAGCCATTGAAGGTCGTCCCCAAGAAAAAGCTTGCCACACCACTCTCCACTTGCAACGGATGCCAGCACACCACAACCAAAACCCTCCGCTGAACTCCATAGTTGGTAGTAGTCTTGCAGTTTTCAGGCATGAGGGTGAACTTTTATAAGAGTGAGCTCATACCAATGAATCTGAGTGAGGAGTTAGCCCATGATATTAATCATAATTTTGCTTGTCCCTTAGGATCCTTGCCTATTAATTACCTAGGTGTTCCCATACACTATTAAACGCTTAGAAGGGAAGACATCCAACCTTTATTAGTTGATTATATACTGAAAAGAATTGCAGGGTGGGTAGGCAAATTATTGTCTTTTGCAGCTAGGATTGTGCTACTTAAGGCTTGTCTGTCCTGTATTCGTATATACCTTCTTTCTTTCCTGAAGTTTCCCAAGTGGGCAATTAAAGTCATCCACTCTCATATGGCAACTGTTTGTGGAATGACAATGAAGGTGCCCATAAGTTCCATCTAGTCAATTGGGAAAGAGTAAATTACACGGCCGGTCCTTAAAGTATTAGACGGATTTCATCTGAGCCCCCAAACTACACGTTTGGCTCCCTAATGTATTTAAGTGATCTCATTTAGGTCCAAAATAGATACGGGGAGGGTTAGAAGCTGACGTAGCCGTCCATGTGGACGATTTAAGGTGACATGGCTCTTTCCCCTTGCACGTCTTCCTCCTCCGTCTCCGGCACTAGCTTCACCAGCGCTAGCTCCCAGCTTCCCACTACGCTTTCCCAGGCTCGACATCTCCACCAGCGCTAGCTCCCAGTCTCCCACTCCACCTTCCTGGGCTCTACCGCCTGCTTCTGCCACACCGAGGTCACCTCTGGCTCTAAGGCGGCGGTGTAGGCGTCCGATTCAAATGGGAACATGACCCAGGTGTCGTTCATGGCTGGCGGCGCGGAGAAGAACACGAGTGCCAGCTTGTTGCCCCGCTCGTCCGTGGTGGCAGCCGGCTCTCTTAGGTCCACGGTCCACCAGGTCGCTCTGGTCGGACTCCTTCGCAGCCACCACTAGTCTGGCGGCGTTGGCGCCGCTGGAACGCCGCTGCTATTTGTGGCGTTGACGCCGAGGCGCTCGAACAGCTCCAAGAGGTGGTTGATGAGCAAGAGGGCGCACGCCAAACTCGTCGCGGATCATCATGACAGTCGGCGGGACCTCGCTCGCGTGTGGCCGCGGGACCTCGCGCCCACCGCGGAGCCTTGCTCGAGCGACCACTGGCAGGACCGCGTGCCGCCGCGGATCGTGGCTCGCGCGTGGCCGCGAGACCTCCCGCGCGCGAGGGCATGGGTGGAGATGCCTGAGCGCGGCCGGGCTCACAGCGCCGTGGATGGAGATGACGGCGCACCGGCGACGGTCGAGGTCTGGATCTCGCACGGCCGGATCTTGCCCCGGCCATCGTGATGGCGCAGCGCTCAAACCACAGTGACCACATCCGTCATTGAGGTCCAGCGACGGAAACTGCAGCGACGGGCGTGGCCCGGCCGGTGGCATCATGTCCGACGACGATGGCATGTGCGGTGCATCCAGTCCACGCAGTCCCACGTGCGGTGCCTCTGCGTGCTCAGGACAGACGCCATTGTTTGGTTCGACGCCCTCATGCTCCGGTACTCCGCATGGTGCAACCAGGTGCCGGACGTGTCTGATGCACGCGCACATGGTGCATGTATGGTGCTCCATGGCGGCGTCATTCGTCATTGCTGGCGACGAGAGCACTCGTGCAGAACGGCTACGGCAGAGCGACAGCGAGGCGCGTCCGCGTGCACGGTAGCGTGGCACGGTGAGGTCATGGCGGCGGCATGCCGCGTTCCAGCATCGTCGCGGCAGCGCTACGCTTACGTCTCACCGCGGATGCTTCTACTGCCTAGGGTGACCCCGAATCGAGAGAGAGAGGCAGGGCAGAGCGAGATCGAGGGAGTGAAAAGTCCTAATGGCTAGAGGGGGGTGAATAGCCTAATAAAATTCTACAACAACACTTAACAAAATGTGTTAGACAATTTTGCGGCGAAGCGAGTGTTGCGCTAGCCTACTAAAATGCAAGCCACCTACCACAATTCTATTTTGAATAGTGTATGTCCACACAATAGCTATGACACTTAGCTAAATTAGTGTGCTCTCAAAGACTAACTAAAGAGCAACACTAATCAAACAAATAAGCTCTCACAACTAGCTACACTAAAGAGCTTGATAACTAGTTTGCGGTAATGTAAGAGTGAGCAAGAGAGTTATACTGCCGTGTAGTGGTAGGAACCAATCAATCACAATAATGAATACCAATGTAGATCAATCACCTCGGAATCAAATGATGAACACAATGATTTTTACCGAGGTTCACTTGCTTGCCGGCAAGCTAGTCCTCGTTGTGGCGATTCACTCACTTGGAGGTTCACGCGCTGATTGGCATCACTCGCCAAACCCTCAATAGAGTGCCGCTCAACCAACACAAGATGAGGATCACACAAGCCACAAGCAATTTACTAGAGTACCTTTTGGCGCTCCGCCGGGGAAAGGTCAAGAACCCCTCACAATCACCACGATCGGAGTCGGAGACAATCACCTCCTCCACTCAATGATCCTTGCTGCTCCAAGCCGTCTAGGTGGCGGCAACCACCAAGAGTAACAAGCGAAATCCACAGCGAAACACAATCACCAAGTGCCTCTAGATGCAATCACTCAAGCAATGCACTTGGATTCACTCTCAATCTCACTATGATGATGAATCAATGATCTAGATGAGTGGGAGGGCTTTGGCTAAGCTTACAAGTATGCTATGTCAATAGAAATGGCCAAGAGAGTGAGCTTGAGCCGGCCATGGGGCTATAAATAGAGCCCTAGTCAAATAGAGCCGTTATACCCCTTCACTGGGCAAAACACGTTCTGACCGGACGCTCCGATCATACTGACCGGACCCTGGACACAGCGTCCGGTCCACTGATTTTTGCCACGTGTCATTCCGAGTTAAAACTGAACCGTCAGATCTTAATGGCTAAGTATTGACCGGACGCTCCGGTCAAACCGACCGGACGCTGGAGCCACAGCGTCCGGTCGAGTACAGTAAGGGTCCAAATCCATTTTTCTTCGACCGGACGCGTCCGGTCCACCTCGACCGGACACAGCCAGCGTCCGGTGGTATACCCTAGCCACTGTACCGCCGAGTCAGCGCGACCGGACGCAGGCAGTCAGCGTCCGGTGCAATCAGATCCAGCGTCCGGTCACTTGACCGACGCCGGCATCTCCTCTGTCTTCTTCACCCTTGCTTCAACGTGCCAACCACAAGAGTTTGCATCCGGCGCCATAGAAAATAGGCATCCGGACCCAAACCCATCTCAACCCTGCAAACACCACCTCCTTTGTAGATGTGCCAACACCACCAAGTGTATCACCTTGTGCACAAGTGTTAGCATATTTTCACAAACATTTTCAAGGGGTTTAGCACTCCACTAGATCCTAAATGCATATGCAATGAGTTAGAGCATCTAGTGGCACTTTGATAACCATATTTTGATATGACTTTCACCCCTCTTAATAGTACGGCTGTCAATCCTAAATGTG